CGGGATGGGAAAGGATGAAAAGGAGGTTGCTGAAGGGGTACAGGTGGGAATGCCAGGAAGCGAGGAGAAGAAACAGGAAGGGAAGAGCGATGGGGGGAATGGTGGTAGGAGTGAAGGAGGAGATAGAGATGAGGAGAGAGGAAGAGGAGGAGGTGGAAGGAATAATAGTTAGAAAGGTGAGGCTGGAGAGGGAATGGTGGAGAGTAGTGGGGGTATATATAAATGAATATATAGAAGAAAAGATGGAGAGGATGAAGAGATGGATGGAGAAGGGAAAGGGGGAAGGAAAGACGGTAATAGGGAGAGATTGGAACGTGAGAACAGGGAGGGAGGGAGGGAAAGTAGTGGGGGGGGACGAAGAGAAGGGAGGAGGAAGGGAGTAGGAACTCAAAGGATAGAAAAGTATGTAAGAAGGGGAGAAGATTATGCGAATTTTTAGGAGAGAGAGGATGGTGGATTCTAAATAGAAATGTAAGGGAGGGATGAGGAAAGGGAATGGACAAATGTAGGAGAAAGGGGGATGTCAGTGATAGATTATGTGATTGGGAACATAGAGACGGTGGAAGGGGTAGAAAGGATGGAAATGGGAGAGAGAGTGGAATCGGACCATCAGCCGGTAGTAGTATGGATAAGGGGGGGAGGGGGCTGGAAGAGGGAAGAGGGGGAGAGAGAGGGAGGAGAGGAGGACAAAGTAGATGGATGAGGGAGGAGGTAGAAGGGTTTGGAGAACAATTCAGGAGAAAAAGGGGAAGGGAAGAGAGAGAGAGAGAGAGAGAGAGAGAGAGAGAGAGAGTGCAGGAGGAATGGAGGAATTTAGAGGGAGAGGTAAAGGAGACGATGAGAGGACTGGGTAGAGGGAAAGAGAAGAAGGGGGGAGATTGTGGAATGAAGAATGTAGAGAGGCGAAAAGGAGACTGAGGGAGGAGTTAAGGGAACGGAGACGAAAGAGGGAGAGGGAGAGAGATATAAGGAAGAGAGACTAAGGTACAAGAGGATATGTGAGGAGAAGAAGAGGGAACAAAGAGAGAGAGATGGGAGAAGGAGGTAGGGGAGATTAGGACAGAACAGCAGGTATGGAAGGTGATAAATAGGGAAAGAAAGAGGAGGAGGGGAGTGAATGAGGAGATAAAAATGGAAGAATGGAAGGAGTATTTCAGGAGAATACTGGGAGGAGCGGAGGAAAGGATAAGGAGGGAAATAGAGTAAGGGAGCAGGATGGGGAAGAAAGACTGGAGCAAGAGGAGATAGAGAGGGTGATAAAGAGATTAAAAGATGGGAAAGCGGTAGGAGGAGACGGAATTTCAAGTGAGGTGTAGAAGTACGGGAGACAGGAGGTACAAAGATGGTTGGGGGAGATATGTGAAAGGGTATGGAAAGGGGAGGGGTGGCCGGAGGAATGGAGTGAGGGAATGGTAGTGCCGATAGTGAAGAAAGGGGAGAGAAAAAGGGTGGAGGAATACAGAGGGGTGACAATGACGCAAACAGCGTACAAAGTGTACACGGCGGTGCTAACGGAGAGAATGAGAAAGTGGAAAGGAAAAGGATTTTGTCAGAGAGTCAGGCGGGATTCAGAAAGGGAAAAGGGACCAAGGATAATGTGTATGCATTAAACTATCTAATAAACAGGCAGGTGGAAAGGAGAGAGAAAAGAATGACAATACTGTTTGTGGATCTTAGGGCGGCATTTGATGCAGTAGATAGGGGGATATTAGGAAGAGCAATGAGGGAAAGGGGAGTGAGAGAAGGGCTGATAAGGAGATGTGAGGAGGTGTTAGGGAAGACAAGGAATAGAGTGAGAGTAGGGGGAGAGAGGGAGAGAGATTTTGGACAGAGAGAGGAGTGAGGCAAGGATGCCCGTTAAGTCCGATATTATTTACATTAATTGCGGATATAGATGAGCAACTGAAGAAGGGAGGCTGGGGAGGGGTAAGGCTGAGGGAAGAGAGGGTATACACATTGGCATATGCGGATGATGTGGCGGTATTGGCAGAGGATAAGGAGGGGATGAAGAGAATGATGGGGAAACTGGAGGGATACTTAGAAAAGAAGGGACTGGAAATAAATATAGAAAAAACGAAAATAATGAGGTGCAGGAAAAATGGTAGAAAATGGAAGAAAGTGGATTGGAGATGGAAGGGGAAGAGGATAGAGGAAGTAAAAGAATATAAATATTTAGGATACATGATGAGAAGGGACGGGGGGCAAGAGGAGCAGATCAAAGATAGGGTAAAGAAAGGAGCGAAGATGATGAGACAAGTATGGGGGATAGGAAAGAGGAGGTTTGGAAAGGACTGGGGTAGGAGGGTATGGCTGTTCGACAAATTGGTGTGGTCAGTGATAAGCTACGGGGTAGAGATATAGGGATGGAAAGAGAGGAGAGGGATAGAGGAGCTACAGGAACATGATATTTAAGATGGATATTGGGGATAGAGAGGTGGACCACAGGGTATATAATAAGAGAGGAGATGCAGAAGGAATTAATGAGAAGCAGAGCAGGAATGAGAGCATGGGGATATGAGAAGAGACTGGAGGAAGGGAAAGGAGGAGAGATAGCAAGAAAGTGCTGGATGGAGATGAGGAATAGGGCAAGGAGAGGAAAAGAAGTAGAGAAATGGGAAGAGGAGGGGAGAAAGTTCTTTGAGGATAGGGGGTGGAAAATGGATGAGATAGAGGAAAAGAGGGAAAAGGGAGAAGAGATAAGGGGAGAGGAAATAAAGAGTAGAGAAAGGAGAAAGCAGGAGGAGAGATGGGAAAGGATAAGAGAATCAAGACACAATGAGTAATACGGAAGGGTGAAAGGGAGGGGAATACCAGGATATCTGAAAATGGGGTGGGGAGAGAAAAGATGGAGGAGGATAGCGAGATTTAGGTTAGGATGTGAGCTAAGAGGAGGAAGGTATTGGAAGGAGAAGGAAAAGAGGAGATGCAGGATGTGTGGGAGAAGGGAAGAAACATGGAAGCATATATGGGAGGAGTGCGCAGGATGGGGGCAAGAAAGGGGATGGCAGAAGATGGAGAGGGAGGTACTAGGAGAGGAGGGAAAAAGGGAGAGGTGGATGAAGGAAGTGGAAAAATGGTGGGGAGGAGAGGAGGAGGAGGGGGAAAGAAGGGGGAGGGAGGTGGAGAGGGAGGGAGATAGAAGGAGCACCGGAAACGGGGGTCATAGAATGAGAGGAAAAGAGTGGAGAGTGAGAGAGGAGGAGAGAATGGAGAAGAGTGATGTGTGTGTGTGTGGAGTTCTCTCTCTCTCTCTCTCTCTCTCTCTCTCTCTCTCTCTCTCTCTCTCGAGCGAGCGAGCGAGCGATTAGAATATAAGAGATAAGAAAGATAGAGGAAATGTAAAGGTTAGGTTAAGAATTGTAACCCCAAGAGGAGGCAATAAAGAATATACTACTACTATACTACTACTATAGATAAATTCTGCAATTTTTAGTCACGTGGTCAAAGAGTGGTTTTATCAATATAAAGTTAACTTTTATATAAAATAGATTTTATACAAAACTGGATATAACTTTAATAAATAATTTTAATATTTACTTTAATAATTAAGAAATATTTTTTTTAGTTTTTCATATAAGTGATTTGTGATTTTAATTGTTTTTATTTATGATTTTCATAAAGTTTCTAAAAATAAAAATACTTTATTTTTGTAATTTTACTATTAATTTTCTCTTATTAAAAAATATATTTTTTTAATTTTTTATATAAATTGTAATTTCAATTAAACACGTATTTATTTCAATTGTTTGTTCTTTTTTTATCTCCTCCCTTTTGAATTAATTACATCTATACGATAAAGTAAATATAATTTGGGAAACCCCATAATACAATTAACCAACTACCTAGCAATTGCCAAAATTATACTACTGGCAGATGTTTTAAAAAAGACATATCTACAGAAGATGTTACAGTTGAAAATAATTCTGCTTTATATTTGATTCACTTTCATATAAACGGTTGTCGGCGCGCGGATAAGGGAAAGTGCCGCTCGTGCTTACATCACCACTTCTTCGTTTCGCCATATTGTACATAAATACTGCTACTTGTATAAATGAACGAGTTACATTCAGGAAAACGATACGTTATCTTAAAATACAAGTTATAAAGGATATTGAAGTTTACAGTTTAATTCTTAAGCGTTTGTTATGAACATAATATATACATAATTCATTATTATTGTGTGTACTTCTATAAAATTTAATATTTTATGTTTCTTTATTCGCAGTAGTTTCGACTGTATCGTCGAAACTATTGCGAATAGTAACTATATTCATATAAACTTTGTTTTACAAAGATCTATAATATTGTTTTCTAAAATATTTCCTCACTTCCCAACTTACCCTGTATGAGCCACAAGGCCAAATAATTGCTACAGACTATTTTCTTCAAAAATCAATAACAGTATAGAATAAAACAATATTTTAAAATTCAAATAAATTAATTTTGATGAAAGTTATTAGATGAAAGATTAATTTGATGATTTTAAATTTTCCAAAAGTCGATAAGTTAACAAAAGTTAGGGCACTATTGTAACAATATATTCTTGATACCAAATAAGATAAAAAAATCTAGTACTATTTTTTCTTCCAACGAATAACGAAATATCGTAAGTTAAATGTTGAAAAAGTTACCAAGTTTTTCTTAAATATTTTAAAAAATATTAGGCAAATAAAAAATATTTCAAACAAGAGTTGTTCAAATTAATTGATAGAAAATGATGATATAATAAAAAATTAGGGTTCCACTTAAAAAAAGTAATGACCAGTGAATATCTCGAAAGTGGCGCCATCGATAAACAAACTGATTAATTTTGTTATATATCCTCCTTGAAACCATACAACTTTTATCTGAAACATTTTTCCCTAAAATGTCGCATTTACAAAAAATCAGGTGGCTTGTGACAACCTATAAACAACTAACTTCGTACCTATTCCTCGCTTCACAGATTTATTTAGCATGTTTACAAAGCATCACCGTGTGTTTTTTAATATTTTACTTACTCCTCAGTTTTTTGTCGTTTCGGACTTTTATTCGATTGTGATGATCTTTGCTTGTGATCAATTTCTAATTTTGAAGTTTTCCGTTTTCTTTCAAAATCCATAATCATCATCTGCTTTCGTTTCTCATGTTCCTTTTCAAGTTCTTGATTCATTTGCCATTCTCTTCGACGTTGTAATTTTCTTTCCCTGTCTGTTATTGCTGACGCTCTCAACAGTTTGTCGGAATACATTATTATTGCTGTTAAAAACAGTAAAAAGATATAACTTTATACAATAAAAAATTTAGTACAATAAATGATAAAAAGTTATATATTTGAATTTGAAGAAAATATTCTTAATATCATAATGCTTACTATATGTACGTCATACCTACGTACCTACATTATAAATCTCTATTTTTTAAATACATTTTTAGGTATTCCTTGTAACTATTCTAATTTTGATGAAAAGCTAATTAAATATTATATTAATATAAGGGTGATTCAAAACAACCGCTTATTCTTAAAATGTATACCTGACTTTATTCTAAGACGATTTTTCTTTTACTAAAAATTTTATCTAAAGTTTAGTTTTTGAATTATAATATATAACAATAACATAAAAAATAAAACAAAAACAATAAAAAATAGTTAACAAATTACGAAACAAGTACGAAAACTATGCAGGAGCAACGCAACTCACTGTCCGACACAAATAATTACATAGAGTGTTTGCTGCAATCAGTTGCCAGGCAAAACAGAAAATCATGGTGACATCAAAATAATCAAATCATAATGAAAAATAAATTTTCTTCATCATTTTAATGTCATTTTGATGTCATCATGATTTTTTGTTCTGTCTAGGCTGTTTGCTACGCGATGGATATGTAAAAATTAGGATTGGGAAGTAACTCGTTACTTGTAACGAAGTTACTGTTACAATTATTTTTTTTGGTGACTATAACTTAACTTCGTTCCGTTTTTTCCATCCGTAACTGTAACTTAAGAAGATGGCAAGACATGTAAAATCGATAATTGAATAAGTCATATTTCATTCAAATAGGGAGTTGAGTACATAAAAACCCTAAAAGGGTTTGCGTGCATGGGCCTCCGTTTGCGAGAAATTTGCAATTAAAAAAATAGCTACATGTTAAGTGTAGTAACTTGGAATCAATAAACGTGAAGCATGGATAGTTGCCGACGCTAAGGCGCGCGTTAGTAATTTGTCGTCTATGTCCGAGAAGTGTTTGAGTCCTCGCAGTGCCAAATTTTTTTTATAATATTATGTATTACTATTGGGGGCTTGAATAAGTTCTCGCTGTTTCCCGACAAATGGTGTTATTTTAGCCTTTTTGCATCGGGCAATACTACAGCCAACTTCATCGTGAAGCTCCACCATTAGACTCGAAGTGACAGTATATGTTATTCTGCCGAAGCATAAACAACATATTTTTTCATAGCGTTAAACATGTCGAATTTCGTGCCAAAAAAAAGAGTATTTGCGGGGAATTTTACTGCATTACTTTAAAAAAAAAACAAACCGGCAGCTGAAGCACATAGAATACTTGTGGAGACTTACGGCAACTATGCTCTGTCGGAAACAATGTAGAGATTGGTTTAGACGCTCTAAAAATAATGATTTTGATGTTGAAGATAAAAAACGCTCCGGCGCACCGAAAAAGTTTGAAGACGAAGAATTGGAAGCATTACTCGATGAAGACCCATGTCAGACGCAAAATAAACTTGCAGAATCATTAGGAGTTAATCACACAACAGTTGTCAAACGTTTAAAAGCATTAGAAATGATTTAAAAGCAAGGAAATTGGGTGCCGTGCGAAGGTACGAATTGAAGCCGAGAGACGTCGAACGGCGTTTTTTCAGGTGTGAACAGCTGCTCCAACGGCAGATTTCCAAAGGAAAGGTTTTTTGCATCGTATCGTGACATGTGTTATAACACATGTGTTATATAATAGTTATATTGTTGAGTAGGAAATTATAACTAACATGCACGTTACATGTAATATTGTGTTTGCTGAGCTAGCACTATTATTGTAAAAAAGTAACTGAAAAGTAATGACTTGTTACTTTCCAATTAACTATAACTGTAACATGTTATTTATTAAAGTCAGTAACTTGTAATTGTAACTAGCTACTTTTTCAGTGAAAAAACTGTAACTGTAATTAAATATTAGGTGCGCAACTAAGTTCCCGCTGTTTTTCAAGAGATGGCTCCCGTAGTAAGTGCTGGTCGATTGTGATATAACCAAAACGTCATGAACCAAGCTTAGACATATGGTAAACAAACCGCTTTGACACATTAGTGATTTTGTTTTTGCGTCATATACTTTTGGTTGTGTGAAAATGTTTTATTTTGTGCCAAATAATCGTCATTTGCGGGAAGTGTTGCTTTTCTTCTTTCATTCGAAGAAAACGGCGGCTGAAGCGCATCGAGAACTCCAAAAAGTTTACGGAGATGCTGCTCTAAGTGAAACAACGTGCCGTGATTGGTTCCGTCGCTTCAAAGACGGTGATTTCGATGTTGACGACCGTTCGCGTGAAGGAAGGCCAAAAACCTTCGAAGACGCTGAATTGGAGGCATTGCTCGATGAAGATCCGTGCCAAACGCAAAAAGAGCTTGCTTCAGCATTAGGAGTTACCCGCCAAGCCATTTCCAAGCGATTGCATGCGTTGGGAATGATTCAAAAACAAGGAACTTGGGTTCCTTATGATTTGAAGCCAAGAGACGTTGAGCGTCGTTTTTTCGCCTGTGAACAACTGCTCCAGCGGCATAAAGGAAGGGTTTTTCTTCATCGCATCGTTACGGGTGATGAAAAATGGATTCATTACAGCAACCCAAAGAGAACAAAATCATGGGGACTGCCCGGTCATGCTTCTACGTCGTCGGCTCGGCCGAATATTCACGCTGCGAAGGTTTTGCTGTGTATTTGGTGGGACCAGGGCGGTGTTATTTATTATGAGCTGTTGAAACCGAACAAAACCATCACTGGGGAACGGTATCGAACTCAATTGATGCGATTGAGCCGAGCACTGCGCGAAAAGCGGCCACAATACGAGCAGAGGCACGAAAAAGTGATTCTACAGCATGACAACGCTCGGCCTCACGTTGCCAAACCCGTTAAAACCTACTTAGAAACGCTCAAATGGGAAGTCCTACCCCACCCGCCATATTCCCCAGATATTGCGCCGTCCGATTATTACTTGTTCCGTTCGATGGCACATGGTCTGGCTAATCAGCAGTTCCGCTCATATGAAGACATCTCAAAATGGCTTGATTCGTGGATAACCTCAAAAGACGAACACTTCTACCGTGACGGTATTCGAGCTCTGCCAGAAAGATGGGAAAAAGTTGTCGCTAGCGATGGGCAATATTTTGAATGATTCATTTGTAACCATTTTTTCATAATAAAGTTGCATTTTCATCAAAAAAACAGCGAGAACTTAGTTGCGTACCTAATACTTTTACAAAGTAACTTTCCCAACTCTGATAAAAATGTAATATGCACACGTGCGTACACGCGCGCATACACACAGACATACACACATACGTACGTACGCGCGCGCGCGTGCTCAAATATACTAGGTGCGCAACTAAGTTTCCGGGTTTCACACATGGATGGCGCTAACGACACATGTAGTCGACATACATGTTTGAAGTTGTATTTTTTTTATAGCTTGGACATCTGTTAACAATAACCAGTCATAATACCAACACATATCGCAACGCAAAAATATTTTTTCTAACAACGAAGATGTCGAGTTTTGTGCCAAATAAACAGCATCTGCGGGAAGCTTTGCTTTTCTGCTTTAACTTGAAAAAAAGTGCAGCTGAAGCACGTCGTTTGCTTGAGGAGGCCTACGGCGAACATGCACCATCGAAAACTACCTGTGAAGATTGGTTTAAACGCTTCAGAAGTGGCGATTTCGACACTGAGGACAAGGAGCGCTCCGGAAGACCAAAAACAATTGAGGACACCGATCTGCAAGCGTTATTGGATGAAGATGATACGCAAACACAAGATCAACTTGCGGAGGTATTAAACATGACTCGCCAAGGTATTTCCAAATGTTTACATGCCATAGGAAAAATTCAAAAGGAAGGAAAATGGGTACCGCATGAGTTGACTGAGAGACAGATGGAAAATCGAAGAGCCACTTCCGAAATTTTGCTTTTGCGGCATGAAAGAAGGAGTTTCCTGCATCGAATTGTTACTGGCGATGAGAAGTGGATATATTTCGAGAATCCCAGACGCAAAAAATCGTAGCTTTCACCTGGCGAAGCATCAACATTGACTGCACGGCCAAATCGCTTCGGAAAAAAGACAATGCTCTGCGTTTGTGGGACCAAAAAGGAATCGTGTACTATGAGCTGCGAAAACCGGGCGAAACTGTCAATGGGCATCGCTACCGACAACAGCTGATCAATTTGAATCATGCATTGCTCGAAAAGCCAGAATGGGACATGAGACACGAACGAGTGATATTGCAGCACGACAACGCTCTGTGCCATCGCACTTCCATCGTCCAGGACATCATCAAAACGCTGAAATGGAATCTGCTACCGCACCCGCCGTATTCGCCAGACCTGGCCCCTTCCGATTATCACTTGTTCCGGTCGATGGCGCATGGCTTGGCTGGGCAATACTTGGCCAATTTCGAAGAAGTGCAAAATTGGTTGGATGAATGGTTTCGGCCCAAAGACACGTCGGTTTATCGTCGCAGTATTCATCTATTGCCAGCGAGATGGCAAAAATGTGTAGCTAGCGAGGGACGATACTTTGAATAAACCATTTTTTGTATTTCTCTTGAAATTTTCCATTTTTCATTGATCAAAAAAAACCCGGATTATATATTTTCGTAAAATAGTACATTTTAATTGCATATTCGTCATATACAATTTAACGGAAATGAAAAATAGAAACAAAATCGAAATTTTTAATTTATAATTATAGAAAAAATACAGTTTTTTATTTCATGGTGGATTATTACATATATATAACATAAACAGAAAAAATATTAATATTTAAGGCAAGTATGGTATTTCTCGAAACATTGTTCAAGATGTAAGGGTACTAAGCATTCAGCACACATAAAGCTACTCTCGCTTCTTTTTTTACTAGCAGAGCAAACTGTACACGTACGTCGTACATATCGGTTTGTTTTCTCTGATCCAACAATTCTGGTAACTTTATGTTTCTTCATATTACCCGAAAGTTTCTGGGGGCAATCAAATTTT